ACAAAAACCCCCCCAAAAAAAAAAAAAAAAAAAAGTTCTTGGGTCTAGGGACCAGCAGTTGGCGTAATGACTATGTCGCTGGACTGCCATGTAGTCATCTGTGGTTCGAGTCCTGGACCTGGTGGCTTAAACTCACGCCAGGTGTGTGTGCATGCATGCCTAGGATCCTAAGAGGAGAATGGAGGAGAAGGGATTGTGGTGTGGTCATCCCCCGGGGGGTGATTTCTCGCTTTCTGTCTCTCTCTGTCTTTCTGGCAAGTGCACGGACCCTATAGCAAAAACAAACAAACAAAAACAACTCTTAACAAAAAAAGTTCTGGGGTCCTGGCTGAGGGAACTCTTTGAGAAGTGACCAGCCACTCCCAAGGGACTAGTGGCCTACACATCTGGCAGGGGGAGGTACAGAATTGGTCCTGGTCAAGGGCATGGATAAAGCCCTGGTTGGGAGGAGTAGCGGGGCTGGCAGTGGCTCCCTGGGGGGGAACCAGACCCCAAGGCTGATGAGGCAGAGCTGACCTGCCCTCAGCACGAGCCCACCCAGCCCAGGAGAAGGGCATGGAGGAATCCAGTGAGCAGACTCAGTGCCGCCCTTGCCCTCCATGGCCTCCGCCCTCATCCTGACTCTGCTCCAGGAAAGCTGACGGGCATGAACGAGATCACAGAGAAGCTCACGCTGCCGGACACCTGTCGGAGTGACCACATCGTGGTGCAGAAAGTGACTGCCACTGCCAACCTGGGTCGCGTCCCCTGTGGGACATCTGATGAGTACAGGTACTAGGCCGCCAGTAGAGGGAAGAGCTGGGCTCTCGGGGGGCCTGTTGGCTGAGCCCCTTCAAGCACAGTCACCCTCAGCAGCTCTCCCCTCCCCCTGCCTCTCCTCTCACCCCAGGTTTGCAGGGAGGACACTGACCAGCGGGAGCCTGGTCCTGCTGACCCTGGATGCCCGGCCCACCGGACCTGCCCAGCTGACCGTCAACAGCGAGAAGATGGTGATCGGCACCATGCTGGTGAAGGACGTGATCCAGGCGCTGACGCAGTGACTCCCGCGTGCTGTGGCCCTTCTAACCTCTGGGTGTCAGTCCCTCTCTGTTTGTCTCCTCTCTCTCTCCTGCCAGCGTCCCCATGCCACAGAGCATCTAGGGTGCCCTCTCTGCCTCGGTCATGATCAGGCCCTCCCTCTCCTCTCCCCATGGCTTCCTTAGCGACCTGTGCGGTAGAGACGGCAGCTGCCCCCCTCCCCCCCCACCCCCTATTTATATAGCAGCCTCAATAAAATCTCTTCTCCCTAGATGCTGGCTCCACTTCCCTTTTACTTACTTTTGAATTTTGCTGGAAGGCTCTGGAGAGAGACAGAGACAGTGAGAGGGAAAGTGAGAAAGCACCACCCCCCATGTGGGATGGTATGCCACAATTTCCTCTTCATCTCTGCCTCCTTTCATGATTTTGGGCATGCACGCACATGTGCCTGCTGTGTTTTTCAAGCCTCTGGGGCTGGGATTCAAACTACTCAGTTGGCCATGTGAGATCCAGCCGCCGTAGCCACCATACCACGGGCTGGCCCAGGTCCTTTTTATAAGCCCTGCAGAGGCAAGTGCTTTTCAATGGCTCCAGTCTCCCTTGGCTCCCCTCGCGGGCCCTTGGGAAGGGACTCATAGCAGGGGAGTTCTCCAAGCAGAGGTGTGCAGTTCACAACATGCCGGCCACATCTGGACATGGGCCTGGAGGCCCCACCTGGCTGGGAGATGACCCACTGACCACGTTTCTCACCTCCACTGACAAGGCAGCGCAGAGATGGAGAAGGGTGCTTCTCACACTGCCTCGCTAGGATCACCTGTGGATCTGACAAACATGCAGATTCTGGTCAGAGTCGGGGGTGGAGCCTGGAACTGCACATTCCTAGCAAGGGCCCAGTGCCCACCAGCTATTCATGGACATGCTCGAGTAGTGAGGATTGTACACACCCAGGACAGGCCCGGTGGGGGCTGTGAGGGTCGGGGCCCTCACTGACACCTTTCCTGGTGACGAAAGAGTCTGAGTGAGCAGAGGTTCCCAGAAGTGAACCGTGTTCTGCTGAGAAAAGAAAAAAGAACGAAAAAGCCTACGGTCAAATGTGTTTAGGAATTCTGGACTTCAGTGACAGGAATTTTTTTTTTTTTTTTTTTTTTTGCGGGCCTTCTCAGAGCCTTTATTATGTGAATATGCACTGTGACCACCCCTCCCCTCCAGGAGGGACTAGAGCTGGTGGCCTTGTTTAAACTTGGTTTTGATCTTGGTACGCTTTGCCCGCAGAGTATCTTGATAGACTGAACCCGGTTAGAAGGAACACTGCAGTGACAGTGTGAGGTGTGGTGCCTCGGCCTCTGGTCCTCCATGGTCTATTCCCTGGCCACTCATCCCTGAACAAGCCTGTCCACAGGTAAGACAGGCTGAAGCAGGTGTGGACCTCCTCTCAGGGAAGGGGAACACCGCAGTGCCAGGCACGGCCCTGTCTCTGGCTCTGGGGACAGGATGGGCTCTGCGGCACCAGAAAGCAGCTGGAGCTGCCACCTTCCTGAGAGCCTTGGAGCCCTGAAGTTGCCATAGGATGACCATCTTGTTATTGCCTGTGCTGGGGTGGGACTGACCCACCTGCTAAGGGCCACCTGAGCAGTGGATTCACCCCTACTTTAGCCTCTGCGTCAGCACTGCCCACGGCATTGAGAAAGATGGTGGGGCGATGCTCTGAGACATTGAAGCAGGACCGGCAGAGGGTTCCTCACTAGCCCTTACTTCACATCGGAATCCCCAGAGTGGATTCTGGGGGGACCAGAGGCGTACAAGGCATGGCCCCAGCTCAGGCTCCCAGAACCTCTGGAAAGGCCACTGTGAGCTCCAACCCGAGTGAGTCTGGGGAGCTGGAACCTTGACCAAGGCGCTGTGTGGTTTCTGGGGAACCTGTTCCAGGCTTCCAAACAGCTCTTCACAAGAAAATGGCTCTTGTGTTCGTCTCAGGGGAGGGCAGGAAGCAGAAAACAAGGTGTGAGCAGAGGAGGGCGTGGCTCTGCAGAGGGCAGAGAAGTGTGGTTGGACAGGAAGAGAGGCTGCCCAGCTCCCAGCTCCAGCCCAGAGTGTCTCTTCCAAGACTCTAAGTCCAGGCCATCCGTCCCACAGCCAAGCCATGCCGGCCTCCCCGAGTGAGTCTGCAGGGACACGAGAGGTTCCGCAGAAGCAGGTGCACGTGAAGGAGCTGAGGGGCCCTGCTTCTGTTCATAGCATTTTCTTTCCCT